AATGTGTGTCACGATCCAACACACTAACTTGGAACGGGTGTCACAATCTGGCACACTAATAGTTTGGGTATGGGTTCCATAAGAGGACCGTTGACTTGTCATACATGTGTATTATTGAGAATGTGGAATTTTACATTGAACGAATTGAAATGATGACTAATATTGTATATGTTCGATATATGCTTGTTTTACTATGTTATGATTACTTGCATATGTTTCACTTATTGGAATAGCCGCGTGGTCCTACCAGTACACTATGATTGTGTACTGATTATGCACTTGCTATTTGTTTGTTGAGTACAGGGCATCTTCAGGCGGCTACTGACTGACCTCGTTTAGAAGATCAGTGATTGAGATCAAATTCAAGGGTGAGCCAGTTCTTCCAGGCTGCCATGAGTTCTTGTTACGTTTGGTCCATTTCTATTCAGACTTATACTAGTACTTTAGTTATTCCTATGTTTAGTTTTGGTTGCACCCATTTCCTTTGACTTGTTGAACTTTAGATGTTTTGGTACATTGACTTTCAGATTCTAGAGGTGTTTTCCACAATGTTTTAGTAAGTGTTTTGTTAGACTTCCGGAGTTTATGGGAACTCCACTTTATTTCTGCATTTAAACTTGCTTCCGTATCTTTAAAAGTTTAGTTTTGGGATTAGTTGGTTAGTAGTAATGGTTCTCCCACCGAAGGGTTAGTGTGGGTGCCAATCACGACGGTCTGGGTCGTGACAACTTTAATTTTTAATTTTTTAATTTTAATTAATATTAATAGTTTATTATTTAATTTTTATCAAGGTGAAATATTTTATCCATGTGGAATGCCATGTGTCAAGGTTTATACAAATAAAGGGAGAGTGCATTACACACACCATTGGTGTTTCTCAAACTAATAAGTGATAGTTTAGGTTTGAAACTCAGACTCTCAATAGTTTATGTATGAAACTAAAAAAAAAAAGGATAGTTTAAGTGTGTTTTTGACACTTATCTCTTTAAATTTTTTATTTGCACAAAAACCACAAACAAAGCATGAATTGCCATCGAAATTACTTACTATTACATCAATTCAAACATAATATACACACTACTAAAGAAACACAAATTTCGACAAACATTCTTTTAGAAATCCCATATATACTTACGTATTCTAACAACAACGTTAAAAAAATCACATTTTTTTAATTCTAGCATATATAGCACAAAGAACTCTAAAGCTAAAGATACCCACTATTATAAAAACACGAATTCCAAATGAAATCCAGTGGAAATGATGAAGACATTTTCAATGAATATTCTGTCAGAAATCCCATATATACTAGCGGTACTCTAACAAAAACGTTCATCAGAAATTCAGGTTTAGTATATCAAAGACCACAATAAACCTTAAAAGCAACATTTGGAGCTGCATAGCCAGCTTGGGAAGTAACATACTTAGATAATCCAATTGTAACGACCCGAACTATCGTTATTTAGGAAAGGAAAAACGTCAGGAAAAAAACTGGGGCCACTATCCCGCCAGAGCGGGCCAGATACCACTAGGGCGGCGACGCCCCAGTGGAATAGGGCGCCAGAGCGGGAATGGAAGAGCATAACTTAAATATCGCAAAGCCTTATTTTCTCCTTTATCCAAAAACATCAAAAAGAGGCGAGAATCACCCCAAAAAATCTCAAAAGGAGATTTCTAGCGTAAGGATGTCGATAGCCTGCGGATTTCTGGTCAAAATCCATTGTCTCATAGTTCGGAAGCCTAGATTGGAGCTCTACATTTGCTTGGCGCCTAGGTAGGCTAGGTTTATTAATTAAGTAGTTGTAAATCCGTGATTCACTGCGTAGTATATTGGTAATTGATGGTAGAATTCATGTGTAGGCTTTTGTGCACCGATAAAGAGATGATTATACATATATTCCTATGTGTTACATCATACGTATATATACCGTAGGAGGAAGCCATAGCCCGTGAACTAGGGTAGGTGATGGTTTGATTTCATGTTTGTGTGACGTATGTGAGTATTTACTTCATTGTAATGTATGTATGTATGTGAATGTAGCACTTTTGATCAAACCTAATGAAAAGACTGAATATGTACAATTGCATGCCATGAACCTAATACTTGATTGCATATCTATAATTATGATTGTTGTGGATGTGATTTTGATTGTGATTGTGCTGACTGGATCGGGTGTCACGTACCGACACACTTACATATATTGAATTGGGTGTCACGTACCGACACGCTTACATGCATTGGATCGGGTGTCACGTACCCACACACTAACACGCATTGGATCGGGTGTCAGGTATCGACACACTAACATACATTGGATCGGATGTCTTGTACCAGCACACTAACATACATTGAATCGGGTGTCATGTACGTCACATATATATGCATTGGATCGAGTGTCACGTTCTGGCACACTAACAGTTTGGGTATGGGTTCCATGAGAGGACCACTTGGGATTGATAATTATGTATCTATTTGTTAATGACAATGTGGAATTGTATGTTACTCTTGAGTTGATAACTGTTTTAGAGCATTCTATTTATATACGTGGGTTTGCGGTGTCGTAAGGTAAATGGGTATATCTTGTTAATGAATGAACTGTGAATGGTCAGGCCTAAATCAGGATGGGGCATAGTAAGTGGAGACCAAGGGTCCAGGTGTTATGTACACTATGTCTTGTCTTAGAGAGGTGGTCATGTGTATAGTCGTTGAGAATTGGGGTGGTGATATGTCGTGATGTTAATAGTTGGGTATTTCCCCAGAAGGGGAGTAGTATTGAGATGGTTAACCAAGACTTAATAGACCATACCATGGGGTCAAGGGTTGAGTGGAGATGTGAAAGGAGTAAGGGGTATGTCGTGAGGGGTTGGCTGGATTGGTAGTGGTTACATCCAGAAACTCCTCTAGTAACTAGAAAGGTTAAGCTAGGATCAAGACTAGAATGATTAAGGGGTTGAAAGTCAAGTGTACTAGTGTATTTTTAAGTATCCAGAATTAGTAAGGGCGGGAAAATATAAAGTTGGAGGAATGAACAGTCTTATTGCATGATTTCCTACTAGTCGATTTCTTATATTATGCGGTGGGCATCGGGTTAATCGATGATGCCTACCAGTGCGTGTGGTTGTACTGATACTACTCTTGCTATGCCTTTTGACATAGTCTGGATGCAGAGTCAGTGATGTTTCATATGTGAAGACGAAGACAATCTCCAACAACTTCTACTTTTCCTTCCATGTGGTGGGAGCTGCGTCATGGTTATCATGTTTATAACTTGTAATCTTAGAAGCTCTTGTACCTGTTTAGACTAGATCCCTGGGGTGTTAATTACTTTACAAGTCTTAACTCGAATTGTTTTAAACTCTTATTTTATTAAAATCTCCATGAATTTGTTTCTATCTTAGTTTTCTTAATCTTCCGCATGTTTTTAAGTGTTTGGGAATTGAGGGTTCTCCTACTTAGGTGTTAGAGTAAGTGCCCGCACGGCCCGGTGGGTTGGGTCGTGACACCAATCATTTCAAATAGCTTGAAGAGTGAAGGGTGTTCTTCATCCACAAGTTCTTTTGGGGCCTTTACAAAGCGACCTGGTTTTGAGAATGAAAATAATTGAATGGAGAATCTATCATTTTCTCCATCCATTTTTACCTTGTAGACGGGAGAATGCAATCAACCATTTGTCCATGCCTATAGAAATTCACATAATCAATGCATAAAACTCAAAACACATTTTGAAGGATCCAACATTTTTAGAGATTCGAAAAGCATAGGCTCCAACAAATATCGAAATTTATTTTTCAGTTTTGCATGAAAATATTAAATATGTACATAGTTCCAATAACTTACTTCAAAAATATTATTCAATGTGTTACATAAAGATTCTTTAAAAATGTGTATTTTGGAGAAAAATCCCAACGCAAGTGGGATAACACTTTTTAAAGATTTGAGAAACATAGGTGAATTCCAACAAATATGAAGATTCAATTTCAATTTTGCATGAAGAAATTAAATATTTAGTTCCAAGTTCCAACCTTGGATATATTCTTCACAAATATTGTTTGGTATACGTCAGATACTCTTAAACCTATATTTTGTTTTTTGAAGGTGCAATAATAATATTTTTGAAGAGTTCGAGTAACACTGATTTTAACAAAGGAATAAGACTTGCTTTGAATGAATCACCAAACAAAACAACATAAGAATTTGGTGAAATATTGACATCAATCCACTCTCCATTTTTATTGATTTGCAAATCATTGACTTGATTTTGTGATATAAAAGTCAAGAAGTTACTATCTGTGTGGCCATTCAATCCATCATCATATTTAATATTATTTTCATCTCCACTAATAAAAGTCATAGTTTGAGTATATAAATGAAAGGGAAAAGGCTCAAATATGTCATCGAACTTTCAGAAAAGGCTCATTTATGCCATCCGTTAAAAGTTTGGCTCATCTATGCCATTACCGTTTAAGAAAAGGCTCATTCATGCCATTATTTTTTAACGGTGGTTTTGCAAAACCTTTTTTTACAAGTTGTATATTTTTATATTTCATTTTGGTAGTGGAAGGATCTTTTTTTCTATACTCTATTGTCTCGATTTGTGTGTCACTTTGTCTTTCTTTTTTAAATAACTAATTTAGTGTATATAGGTTGCACGTCTATGTCGCGTTTGTTAATAAAAATGTATATAAAAAGAAAAAATATTGTTCCAACATATATAGCAAATATTATTGAATACCCAATTGTAATTTTTTTATAAAAAATATTACTGTACAGATGCAATAATTGAGAAAAAAATTGCATGCCCTCAAAATTTGCAAAGAAATAGAAAAATGGTTCGAGTTTCTTTTAAGTATAAAAATGTCTTTAGTAGGGAGTTTTACTTCTCAATGTGGGACTTATCGATGCGATTTAAAATTTGATCAGACTCCAATGTGGGCATGGCCAGAAGTTTAATAGATGGGACTAGCAATGAATCTTGATAGTTTAGGTGTGTTTTTGACACTTATCTCTTCAAAATTTATTATTTGCACAAAAAACACAAACAAAGCATGAATTCCCATCGAAATTACTCACTATTACAACAATTCAAACATAAGATACACACTACTAAAGAGACACGAATTTCGACAAACATTCTGTTAGAAATCCCATATATACTTACGGTATTCTAACAAGAACGTTCATAAAAAATTCACGTTTTTTTATTCTAGCATATATAAAACAAAGAACTCTAAAGCTAAAGATACACTCTATTATAAAAACACGAATTCCAAATGAAATCCATTGGAAATGATGAAGACATTTTTGATGAATATTCTGTCAGAAATCCCATATATACTAATAGTACTAGTCTGACAAAAACGTTCATTAGAAATTCACGTTTACCATATCAAAGACCACAATAAGCCTTGAAAGCATCACTGGGAGCTGCATAGCCAGCTTGGGAAGTAACATACTCAGATAATCCAACCATTTCAAATGGCTTGAAGAGTAAAGGGTGTTCTTCATCCACAAGTTCTTTTGGGGCCTTTACAAAGTGACCTGGTTTTGAGAATGAAAATAATTGAATTGAGAATCTATCACTTTCTCCAAATATTTTTACCTTGTGGATGGGAGAATGCAATCGACCATTTGTCCATGCCTGTATAAATTCACGTCGTCAGTGCATAAAACTCAAACACATTTATTTGAAGGATCCAACATTTTTAGAGATTCAAAAAGCATAGACTCCAACAAATATCAAAATTCATTTTTCAGTTTTGCATGAAAATATTAAATATGTAGGTAGTTCCATTTAATATTCGAGAAACATAGGTTAATTCCAACAAATATGAAGATTCATTTTCAATTTTGCATCAAGATATTAAACCTAAATTTTGTTTGGTATATTCCAACCTTGGATATATTCTTCACAAATATCGTTTGGTATACGTCAGATACTCTAAAATCTATATTTTGTTTTTGAAGGTGCAATAATAATATTTTTGAAGAGCTCGAGTAACATGGATTTCAACAAAGTAATATGACTAGCTAAAAAAATAAAATGAGTAACACTTACTTTGAATGAATCACCAGACAAAACAACATAAGAATTTGGTGAAATATTGACATCAATCCACTCTCCATTTTTGTTGATTTGCAAACCATTGACTTGATTTTGTGATATAAAAGTCAAGAAGTTACCATCTGTGTGGCCATTCAATCCATCATGTTTAATATTATTTTCATGATCTCCACTAATAATTGATGATCCCTTGTAATGTGTAAATCTAAATCTCATATAATTAATATCCAACAATTCATCAATATGATTTTCTAATCCCAAATTCTCCAAAATCATCTTTTTCAACATTTCATCCAATTCCATAAGTGGATTTGAGTAAGCTTTTACCAAATTGCTGCAAAAATTTATCACATCACAAAAATAACTTTATCGCTACTCCACGACTCTAATCAATGCACAAAATAATTTTATTTTAAAAAAAAAAATAAAGTAGACATACCAGAAATCAGGATTACCATGAGGCCAAAAGATATTAGCAAAAGTTTCAACATTTTGAGGATTAAGCAAATCAGGAATACACAAACTCTCATAAAATGGCAAGTGTGGAATCATTCCTACATAGCCATGTAATGTTATATCTGAATAATTTTTCACTTTGGTCTCTAAAGGAAATTCAAATATTTCTTTTGAAATACCAAAAATACCCTCTCTAATTTCATTTGGAATTTTATCATATATTGCTTCAAAACAACCATATTCTTTTAAAGCTTCAAAAACTTGAAATTTTGTGGATTTCCATAGTGGAGTGTTTGGTTTTAGTTCTAGATTAGAAAAATCTATGGTGGGAATCTTAACTTTGGTAGATGCCATTTGAAAGAAACAAAGAAGGAATTAAAGACTTCACAATGTGAATAAGTAAAAGAGGGGGATAGAGAGTATATATAGACAAATAAATTATCACTTGTATTTTAAAATTTGTACACGACAAATTATAAGAGACTAACACCTTGTTTGGATGGTTTGCTACGCACTGTATTGTACTGTTAATTTAAATATAATATTTAATTTGATAGTTACTTAAATTTATTGTATCGTATTGTTTAAATTTGTTGTTAAGTAACGACGAAAAATATCATTTTATGTAACGATCGATTTGGTGCTGATCGTGCCGTTACCTTAATTTTTTTTTTCTTGTTTTATCTGTATTTCTTATTTAATAATTTTAGGGAAAATGCATAAGTCCCCCCCCCCCTCCAAACCTATGCCCGAAATCCCAAAGGCACACTTATACTATACTAAGGTCTTATTACCCTCCTGAACTTATTTTATAAATAATTTTCTGCCCTTTTCGGCCTACGTGGCACTATCAACCAGATAGCTTAAAAAAATTGTCAACACGTGCTAGGCCCAAAAGATAGTGCCACGTAGGCCGAAAAGGGGTAGAAAATTATTTATAAAATAAGTTAGGGGAGGAGGAGGGTAATAGGATTTTAATATAATATAAGTGTGTCTCTAAGATTTTAGGCATAGGTTGGGGTACTTATGCATTTTCCCATAATTTTACTTTATTCTTTACCCTACTTTTTTTATAGGAAAAGACATCAAACTTTGAACGTATTTACTTAAAGAATGGGCTAAATGTTAAGTGGACACTTACTACGGATTGAAGGGAGTATAAAATAGTCTAAGTCATTTTTATTTCTTCTATTTATATTTCTATAATTTGTTATCTTTATTTTCATATTTCTTATTTCATATAGTCAATTATTGGGTTCAAGTGGTCAACTAAAAAATAAAAATAAGGTAATTCATCCATTTTCAATTGGTATTAGAGCAAGGTCTTACAATTATTTGTCTATAGTGCAATGTTTGGTTTTAACTCTTCATTAGAGAAATCTATTATTGGAACTTTAACTTTGGTACAAGTCATTGATGAATTAATTACTTCCTCTGTCCAACAATACTTGTCCACTATTGATTTTGCACACATTTTAAGAAATTATAAATAAAAGGGTAATTTTACTATATCACTGTCTGAATATAATAAATAGAATGCCTAGAAAAATGTAATAGACAAACGACTATAATTAATTACAGAGATAAATTAGAAACGAAGTGTATAATTATTCATTAATTTTATAAAGCGGACAAGTATTGTTGGACAAATGAAATAATAAAGAAAGGAGGAGGAATTCAAAGTTTACTTTAAAATAGGAAACAGATGGTATACGTGTGTATGTATATATATATATATATATATATATATATATATATATATATTAAAATAATGGAAAATGGATTAACAAAATTAATTTGTGCAGAGTTGTAATTGTTGGATATTTTAAAATAACTTTAAATCCATTATTAAGATCAACTTTTATGTCATATTAAATGACTTGGATGTCAAAGGATTACTAAGTTCATCAGCACTTGCGTAATTAACTTGGGCACCAAGTTGATATTCCCTTTTTCCCCAAGTTAATATTTTCCTTTGCCTCCAAGTAGCTGCTGTCCACCGCCTTGCCAACTTTCAATATCTTCTCTCGACTTGGTTTTTTTTGTATTATTTATATTTTGCTAGTTTCTGTATTCTTTAATTAATTTAGAGAAGGCTTATTTAATTCTGAAGAAATATTTCACACTGTTGAAATAGTTTCTTAGGACAGTGCCTAGCACGACTCAAGTATTATATATATATATATATATATATATATATATATTACTTAAGAATATTATTGTAGTAGTATTCATCCTAATTCTGATATTATTGTTTTGATATTATATTTTCCCCATCCATTATATATTATATTTTTCCAATAGTAATTATAATATAATAATGGGAAATGGATTAACAAGATTAATTCGTGCAGGGTGTAATTAGGATTTTGAATTTTAGAAGAAAAAAAAATGTCCTCTCTAATTTTTAATTCGTGCAGGATAGTAAAATATTATCTTGAAAGATTGTTAAAAACTATACTCCTTCTATCTTTATTTACTTGTTCATTTTTTATGTTGCATACTTATTAAAAATAATAATAACCCATTTTTAACCCACCCAAGTTTGAACCAATCCATTTCTATGCCACTACTAGGGGTGAAATACATCGATAATCAATTAATTTATCAATGAATTTTATTTAATATACTATAATTACGGTATGTTCAAGTTGACATCTGAACACATGATAAGATAAATCTAAACACTTTTTGCTCAAAGTTTGTAGAAAAAAAGTGTGAGCATGTTCTCAAACGTCCATTAAGTAGACACTACTAGAAATCATGAAATTAGCTACAAGATTTATCGATAATTACTTGTTAATCAATCGTTAAATAGCTCGTAACTAATTGAATTTTTAAATAATCCACTGCTAATTCAAAAGTGTTTGATTGAACTACTTCTTGACTAGACCACACCATAATTTGAGTATCTAAATGATATATATTGACAAATTTCAAGAGATTATCGATAAATTCTTTATTTTTTATTTTTCATTTTTCATTTTGGTAGTGGTAGAATCTTTTTTGTCAATTACCCCACTGTCTTGATTTGTGGTCACTTTATATGATACATATAGCCTCATAAATTTTAAAGTCCTAGGCTCGTTTGGTGTGATGGACAAGATGATTTAATTTAGGCATAATTTTTAAGTGATCATTAATCTGTTGTTTGGTTGTCAAGGGTGGAATAACTTATCCCAGGATTAACAATTAGTCCTGGGATTACCTGGGATAAGTTATCTCTTCCTGGGGGTGGGATAGTAATTCCAGGATAACTTATCCTGGGATTAGGTAGGTAAAATAACAAAAATACCCTCCTTAAACCCCATTTTTATACACCACTTTACATTCATGTATATTAACATAATTTTTAACAACATTTATAATAAATTCACAACCTTAATTATTCCTTATTCTTATGATAATATATTTTTCTATTAAAAAATTACATTTTATAAATATAATTTTTATTTATGAATATAAAATAAGTTGAATTTATTTGCTTAATTCTTAATGCTATTTATATTTTAATTTCTCTCAAAATGTTCACTCCACTATTAAATTGCATATTTTTAATTAAGTAGTTTATTACTCACTTAAACATTATATTTTATATATCAATTAAAATGTAGATAACTTTAATAATAAATTTTCTTTTACTTTTAATAAACTTAAAATGGAAGTTTTATTTTTAAGCTAAATAAGATGAATGTTTTATTTTTAAATTAAATAAGATGAAAGTTTTATTTTTAAGCTAAATAAGATTGAAATTTTATTTTTAAGCTAAGCAAGATGGAAGTTTTATTTTAAAGTTAAATAAGATGAAAGTTTAATTTTAAAAACACATGGCACAATCATGTAAATGCACACCCAAAAATATTTAAGCTAAATAAGATGAATTTTTTTATTTTTAAGAATGAATAACTAAAACTTACAAATAAAATGTAAAAAACAAAAAAAACTAAATAAGATGAAGGGTATTTTTGTAAACAAACAACTTATTCTTAGAAATTATGCCATGAATATAAGTTTGAATATGACAAACCAAACGAGCAACAAAAAATAATCTCAGCATAACTAATCCCAACATAACTAATCCCAACATAACTTATCCAGTATAACTTATCCCAGCATAGCTAATCTCAGCATAACTAATCTCAGCATAACTTGTATTCAAACCAAACGACCCCTTATTGTTAAGTACACACGTGATGTTGTACGTGTTTTTGGTACGCGAGATAAGGTGGAATTCTTAGTACTATAGTCTATAGTTTGTTAGTTTTGAACATGACATTTAAAACAACTACTTTAAGATGATAAAACTCACTTTAAATGTGTTATAAATGTTGTACTCTCTATGTTTTATTTTATGTGACATTATTTAACTTGGTACAATATTTAAGAAAAAAACTTTTAAATTTTGTGGTCTAAAATAATTTCTAGATATTTGTGTAGTTGAACTATTTCATTAAGAGTAAAAGAGAATTTTAAAGTTAAATAGTTTCTAATAGTAAAGTAACATTCTCTTTTGGGACGAACTAAAAAGGAAAAATTATCACCTAAAATGAGCTATATGACGTATTCATCAAAATAATACATTATATTACAATTCAATACAACACAACATAACATATACAATATAATATATTGGTGTATGTACCACAAATTACAGTTGAAACTAAAGTGAATAAGAAAATATTCAGCTTGATGCGCGGATATCTTGTGCTCTTTAATAAGATTCAAGTCGACTATTATATATAATAATCAACATTGATCCAGTAATATAATTTTTTACCTGTCCCCTCTAGGTTACAACAAGTCAACAAGGCCGTGTGACTCAAACAACTCTGGATTAGTTAGAGAGTCCATAGCTCCTCCAAAAAAACACTTTCCTTTAATATAAAATTTCTCTCAACTCTCTCTTCCACTACACTAACTTCAAAATATAAACACGTACAATATAATATTTTTCATCCACTTCTCTCTTTTTTTTTCTCTGTTCTTCTATCTCAACAAGTGGAAGAAAACATATTTTATATAGGTGTATGGTTTCTTTCACAAATATATGTCAAGACTATGGATAGTCATTTGAGGATTAATGGAAAAAATAGAAGAATAGATTACAAAGAATTATGTCACCATTTTCTCCCATTTATGCCTACTAATAATCATGCACTTGATATTTTAATTTCTAATATTAAAATGCTCAATAACATCAACACAATACATCATGAAATCATAAGCAATAAGGATCCAAACATAACTTCAAAATATACAACCACTCATATATTGTATTTATTAAAATAATAAAGAACGAAATAACGTAATACAACACAATATGTTATTAAATCATAATTATTGTACTTGCCTTCCATTTATTATTTCCTTATTTGT